TGAACCTTATTGTTGTTGCAACCAAGAAATGCTGCAGTTGAGTTCCAATTAAAGAAATATTACAAAATAAGTATTACAATGTGCCTCTGTGCAGAGCTGAGCTTCCTCTCCCTGTCTCTCCCCTGCACTGAACTCTGTGACCCAGGACAAAAGTCCTCCCAGCACAGTGTCCCTTCTGGCCGCACGTGGGAACTTCCATCGATGATTTAATCCTTCAAAGAAAGATGGAGGTAGGGGCCCCGATGGACCACCCACCTCTGTACACTGCCACAGTCCGGAGGGCCCATCGGGCAAGTGGGAACTGAAAGCACTGCTGCTGTAGCTTGTGAAGGGAGACTCAGTGCTCCCACTTCAATTTAAATTGGGAGGGGGCACAAGTGGGGGCACTGCATGATGTAGGGGGGCCATGGCTCCTCTGCCCCGACTTAGTGATATCACTGGCTACCTCGAAAACGCAGCACCTCATCTGCATATTATCCTTGGACCCAGGCAGCACAATGTCTTGGGCTGGCCCTGTGTTGGGATTTGCGGACACAGAATGTCTATATAGATGTTCTTGGCACTTGAGGTTCTATTGTTTGAAGAAAAGAAATCCCAAACAAAAGCATATTTCACTGCAAAATAATGCAATTTCATATTCCATTATTTTTGCTACTTAAAATGTTTACAAGGGTTTCAAAATACAAAATAAATCAATTTCATAAATTCAATTTGTGTAGCTCTCAAAATGACCTTTCTATAAACTTTTAACAAAACATTTCTCTAATTATTATGCTAAGCTACAATAATCAGTCATGTTTTATGGTAAACAAGTAGTAAGACTGAACACAAAATAGTAAATATGTTAAAATAAAAATCATTATAGCTATGATATCAAAACATTTTTTCAGACTTGCAGTGAAATTGTGACTGATAAAAGTTGTACAAGCAATATTTCATCCTAAAAGCAGACACAAAACAGCAAAGCTACTAAAAATGGTAAATTATTTTTTAAAAGGCTGAAAATTGCTTAGGGAAACAATTCTTAAGATAATGGGAAAAAAGATAATTAATTTTCTGATCACTTTAATTACATTCCAAGCAAGGCCAATTACCAAAGTAAAATATTCAAAGTGTGTTAATTTAAACAAATGCCTTTTTCCTTTGTCTGCTAATGAGTCATTGAAAAACATCTGGGGCTTTTTATTGTTAGTTTTTTTTTTTTTTATTCCACAGAACATGCAATGTACTACATTTAACAGGGGGGAGAATGAGGAAAGGTTCTATCGATGAACAAACTACCTAATACTCTTTCCATGCTCTTACCTAACCTTGATAACTAATCCTAACATTGCCTAGAGGGATAGGCAACCTTCGGCACTCCAGATGTTGTGGACTACATCCCCCATAATTCTCTTACAACCATATTGCTGGCAAAGCATCATGGGAGATGTAGTCCAAAACATCTGGAGTGCCGAAGGTTGCCTATGCCTGGGGGATAGGCAACCTTCAGCACTCCAGATGTTGTGGACTACATCCCCCATAATGGCCGTCCTAGAGTGTCAGTGTTTGCCTACCCCTGGCTCTCTATAATTACCCTATCCACAATTTAAACTATTCAACAATGAAAGAGATACAATTAAATGAATACATAAACAGAACAGAGCAATTACTTTTCTCAAAAACAAACTTTATGAAGTGGAAACAGGGAGTCAAGTAATACAAGTAGGAGTGCCCTGGACCACCAATTAAATGAACAGGACTTCCTGCCATTACTGGTACTGTGCTCTGGGTGAACAGGTACAGAAGGGGAGATGAAGAGAGAATGAGACACATGGAGGGACTAGGGGGAGGGAATAACACACATTGAGAGGCTGAAGGGAGGTGGCAATCAGACACATAGAGAGGTCGGGTAGGGGCATGAGACATATGGAGGGGCTGAGGGGAGGGAATAAGACACATGGAGAGGCTGAAGGGAGGTGGCAATGAGACACATAGAGAGGTCAGGAAGGGGGATGAGACACATGGAGAGGTTTGGAAGGGGAATGGGACATATGGAGGGGCTGAGGGGAGGAGGAATGAGACACATGGAGGGCTTGGGAAGGGGAATGGGACATATGGAGGGGCTGAGGGAGGCACAGAATGATACACATGGAGGGGTAGGAGGGAATTAAACACATGGAGGGGCTGGGGGGAGGGACTGACACATGGAAGGGCTCAGGGGAGGGAATGAGAGGATTGGATGGGCTGGGAGAAGTTATTGAGACGCATGGAGGGACTGTGGGAGGGACTGAGACACACATGGAGGAATGGAGGAGCTGGTTGGGAGGGAATGAGTCACATGGAGGGGTGGGGGATAAGACACCTGAAGGGGTGGGAGATGAGACACATGGAGGGGTGGGAGATGAGACACATGGAGGGGTGGGAGATGAGACACATGGAGGAGTAAGGAAATTAGACACATGTAGGGGCTGGGGAGGAATGAGACACGTTGAGGGCTGAAGGGAGGGAATGAGACACATTGAGGAGCTAGGGGAATGAGTAGCATGGGGGAAGAGGGGGCAGGGAAATTTTCGCACTGTGGCCCAGTGATTTCTAGTTATGCCGCAGTCTATCTCACAGAGCAAACCTAAACAAGGGTTGTACTGTGTAAAACTCAGATACATCATCTCTAGAGGGCTGATGCACAACGATGATGAATGTATTGCACACTGAACAAGTTATAGATCTATAAAGTTTAAATAGAAACATCTAAGATTAAAAATAATGTTTTTTACAAAGTCACACATAATAGCTATAATATTTCTAAGCCAGCCAGATTTATCTTAATACTGGCAGGTCCCAATATAACATTGCTCTTATAAAATGAATTTACCACATTGTTGGAGAAATTACAATTGCATATTTATCAACACGTTTCCAATAAGACAGCAGCAACATAGCAACAGGGAAACAATTAAACTATGACTATATTTTCTGACACATTTTATTAAACATTCATGCTTTGTCTACCATAATCCTGCCAAAGAATAAAAAAAATATATATAGAAATTAAGAAATTGGTATTTTTCCAATTCCTTTCAAAATTCCCCAAATAATTAAAACAAAAAACAAAAAAACTACTTTTATATATATATATTTTTTTTAGAATTTTGTTTTTGCCATAACGTCTTTAAAGAAATCATGTAAATTCTGGCAAGTTTAAGTTCATTAACCATGTCAGACCGTGTTTGCTCTCTAACCTTTTACAACGCTATTCCTAGAGGCAGCCCTGACCCTACTTTAAACTAGTTAAATGAATACTACAGTCACCAAAACAACTTTAGCTTAATGAAGCAATGTTTGTGTATAGATCATGCTTCTCAAGTCTCAATGCTCAATTCACTTCCATTTAGGAGTTAAATCACTTTTGTTTCTATTTATGCAGCCCTAGCCACACCTTCCCTGGCTGTGACTGACACAGCCTGCATGAAAACAAAATGGTTTCATTTTCAAAGAGATGTAAGTTACTTTAAAAGTAGTTTTTTTCCTCCTGCTCTGATTTTTAACTTTAATATTACATACAGGAGGCTCCTAAAAGATAACGTTCTAAACTAAACAGAGTTTGCAATAAACAAAGGGTGAACATTAGATGAATCTTTACAGGAAGTGTTTGGGAAGGCTGTGAAAGTCACAGGAGAGGTGTGACTATGGCTACATAAACAAAGTGATTTAACTCATAAATGTTAGAAAATGAGCAGTGAGACTGCAGGGGCATGATCTATACACCAAAACTGCTTCATTAAGCTAAAGTTGTTATGGTGAATACAGTGTCCCTTTTAGTGCATGTGCATATATGTATGTGTGTTCAGTATGAATATTGACAGGATGCTTGTGAGTACAAGCATTATACATTTCATACAGGTATGTGTGACTATCAGCAATTTAAAACCATCACAACTGTTTGCATGAATAGTACAATGTTTGTCTGAACAAGTAGAAAAAGCATGTTTATATATGGTTACAAATATAGTAAGTGCAATAGAGCCATACTGGAGGGGGAGGGGATGGTTGTAGATAGCCATCATCACCAATGGCATACACACTTCCCAAGCTGGGTATGTCTGTTTGTTCCCCCTTCAAGGCAGCTAATGTACAGAGCCATGGTAAAAAGCTCTGGCATAGGGAATAACTGCCCTTTGTATGTGGGGGTGATGGAGGCTGTTGTGTGTGGGAGGATAGGGCAGTGGCATACTAAGGAGGGCATAGGGGGGTGGCAGTCCGCCCTGGGTGCCACCAGGTAGGGGGGTGCTATCAGAACTGTCCTTGGAGATGTGTGAGTTGTGTTGCAAGTCTGTCTGTTACTGTGTGTGTGTGTGACTGTCTGCCTGTGACTGCGTCTGTGACTGTCTGCCTGTAACTGGCTGCGTGTGACTGTGTGTGCGACTGTCTGTGACTGTGTGTGTGATTGCCTGCCTGTGACTGTGTGTGTGACTGTCTGCCTGTGACTGTGTGTACGGCTGTCTGCCTGCGACTGTGTGTGACTGTCTACCTGTGACTGTGTGTGTGACTGCCTGTAACTGTGTGTGTGACTGTCTGCATGTCACTAAGTGTGTGTGACTGTCTGCCTGTAATTGTGCGTGCTACTGCCTGTAACTGTGTGTTTTACTGTGTGCGAGTGACTATGTACCTGGGACTGTGTGCATGTGGCTGTATTTGACAGTATATATGTATAACTGTGTGCATCTAACTGTGTCTGACTGTCTTGGCCTTCAATGAGCCGGCAGCTGGGATATGAAGTCATCCTGGCATTGGTGTCATTTCAGTGCATGCAAGGGACCTGTGCAGGAAAAGCACAGAGATACCAGCAGCAACCACTGACCTCCAGCCCTTCACTCCAGCCCTCTCAGAGCAAGGTAGGGTGGACCTCTTATTAAATCTGTGTATGTACGTGATGATTGTGTGTGTACATTTACTTATATATGTATGTGATTGTGTGTCTCTGATTGTGTTTGTGGATGTCTGTTGTGATTATGTGTGTTGATGTAGGAGATTGTGTGTGTAGGTCTGTGATTGTGTGTGTGTGTGTCTATAGTTATGTTGGTCTATATATATATATACACACACACAATCACGGACCTACACACACTATCACATAATCACAACATACACTTAACCATAGAGATGCACACACAATCTCAGTGTGTATATAAATGTGTATGTGTTTAGTAGATAGTTCCCTTATTTTGTGTCCTTAAATATTGCAATCTCACGTAAGGAGAACAAGTAAGTGAGTGATCTACTAAACAATTGAAAGATTAAAATTAAGAAAAGGGCTTTTTAAATTTTGATCTTTTAGCTGTTTAGTAGATAATTCCCTAAATTGGTGCTCTTATGTGAGATTTCCATATTTAAAGATACTAAATTAGGGTGCTGTTTAGCAGCTATTTCACTTATTTGGTGTCCTTAAATATGGCAATCCAACATAAGGATAGCAAATAGGGGAGTTATCTAATAAACAAAGATTGAAGTTAAGAGGTGACAATTAGAGTTGAGCGGACACCTGGATGTTCGGGTTCACAGGATTCGGCTGAACATTGGCAAAAAGTTCGAGTTAGGCCTCGAACTTGACCCGAACTTGACCCAGAACCCGAACCCCATTGAAGTCAATGGGGACCTGAACTTTTGGGCACTAAAATGGCTCTAAAAAAGTCTTGGAAAGGGCTAGAGGGCTGCAAAAGGAAGTAAAATGGGGGTAAGAGTAGGACAAGTGCCCTGCAAACAATTGGGGTAGCCCCCAAAATATTGGGACATATAAAAATAGAAAACAAAGAATGAGTGCACTTGAGTAAAACAAAGGCTAGGTGAGGCCGGTATAAATGTCTATTCTGCACAAGGTACAAGTCTGGTAGGATCCATGCCTGGTTCATTTTAATAAATGTGGACAGGCGGCTGCGCTTGTGCTAAACACCCCCTGCCGTGCTAAACACACGTTCAGACAATACACTGGCTGCAGGGCAGGCAAGCACCTCCAAGGCATAAAGGGCAAGCTCAGGTCATGTGCCCAATTTGGAGACCCAGAAGTTGAATGGGGCAGACCCATCAGTCAGTACGTGTAGGCGTGTGCACACGTACTGTTCCACCATGTTTCTGAAATGCTGCCTCCTGCTAAGATGTTCCATATCAGCTGGTGGTACTGGTTGTTGTGGCGTGCTGACAAAGCTTTTCCACATTTCGGCCATGCTAACCCTGCCTTCTGAGGTGCTGGTGGTGCCCCAGCTGCGTTTGGCGACCTCTTCCTCCTCCTCTGCCTTCGCCTTGTGCTTCCAACGAGCCCCCGGTGTCAGTTGGGAATTCCCTCAGCAGCGCGTCTACCAGCGTGCGCTTGTAGTCACGCATCTTCCAATCAAGCTCCAGTGAGGGAATTAAGGACGGCACATTGTCCTTGTAATGGGGATCCAGCAGGGTGGCCACCCAGTAATCAGCACAAGTTAGAATGTGGACAACTTGGCAGTCGTTGCGCAGGCACTGCAGCATGTAGTCGCTAATGTGTGGGCAGTCGTTGCGCAGGCACTTTGGTGACTCTAGATAATCCAGTGTCGGTGACGACGCATTCGGATGTCTGCCCTTTCAACTTTCGATTGCACTTTCTGCGCCTACCAGGTGACCACGGGTAACGGGGAATCAAGGTTCGATTCCGGAGAGGGAGTCTGAGAAACGGCTACCACATCCAGGGAAGGCAGCAGGCGCACAAATTACCCACTCCCAACGTGGGAAGGTAGTGAGGAAAAATAACAATACAGGACTCTTTCGAGGCCCTGTAACTGGAATGAGTACACTTTAAATCCTTTAACTAGGATTTATTGGAGGGTAAGTCTGGTGCAGAGTGACTGACCCGTGCGTGCTGCAGCTGAAACTCCACTATCGCCTGCTGCTGCTCGCACAGTCTCTCCAGCATGTGCAAGGTGGAGTTCCACCTTGTCGAATTGCTGTTTGGGAGAAGGGTGCGAGGGCCGTTAGACTTAATTAGAGAGCATTGGGAGGGGGAGAGTAGTACAGATGGGACACCCATTGTACTATACGTGCTGGAGTTCAGGGACCGCTTGGAGGCATTAACCCAGGCCGTAAGCACCAACCTCCAGGCGGCCCAACAACGCCAGCGCCGCTGGTATGACAGGGGAGCCAGAGACCGCAGCTTTCAAGTGCGACAGAAGGTTTTGATTTTAAAACCTGTCCGCACAGACAAGCTGCAGGCCATCTGGCAAGGCCCATACCAGGTGGTGGAGATGTGACACCACCTATGTGATTGGCCCCTGCTCAGGGATAGGGAAGAGATGCATGCTTCACGTGAACATGCTCAAACCCTATCATGAGAGGATAGAGAACGTGGCAGCAATATGCGCCTCAGCCTTTGAGGATCAGGAGAACCTGCCACTGCCGGTAGTGCTAGTACACAAGAAGGATGGCACAACACGTTTTTGTGTCGACTACCGGAGGCTAAATGACAAAACTGTGCCTGATGCCTATCCGATGCCCCAGATAGACGAGCTGCTGGACAAGATGGCACGAGGCCAGTATCTCACTACCATAGATTTGTGTAAAGGGTACTGGCAAGTTCCACTAGCCGAGGATGCCATCCCCAAGTCGGCGTTTGTCACCCCGTTTGGCCTGTACCAATTTCGAGTCATGTCATTCAGGATTAAAAACGGATGGTAGATCGGCTACTGGACGGGTTTCAGGAATATGCGTGTGCATACCTGGACGATATCGCCATATAAAGCCAGACCTGGGCAGAGCATCTGCAACACATTGGAGCTGTTATTGACCGTATAGGGGAGGCAGGGTTGACACTGAAGCCTAGCAAGTGTCATATAGGGATGGCAGAGGTGCAGTACTTGGGACACCAGGTGGGGAGCGGGCAACAAAAGCCTGAACCAGCAAAGATTGAAGCCGTTGCCAAGTGGCCTACCCCTAGGACAAACACCCAAGTGTTAGCCTTCCTGGGTACTGCAGGATATTACCGGAAATTTGTACCTAATTACAGTGCCCTGGCCAAACCCTTGACTGACTTGACCCGCAAGAACCTTCCTCGACAGGTCGTCTGGGCCCCAAAGTGTGATCAGGCATTTAACCAACTCAAGACAGCTCTAACTAATGCACCTGTACTTGCTGCTCCTGATCCAACTAAATGATTTCTTGTCCACACAGACTCTTCACTGTTTGGATTGGGAGCAGTGCTGAGCCAAGTTGGAGCAGATGGCGGAGAACATCCCGTAGCGTATCTAAGCCGGAAACTATTACCACGGGAAGTGAGCTACACCCCCATCGAGAAAGAATGCCTGGCCGTGGTGTGGGCCCTCAAAAAGTTGCAGCCGTATCTATATGGGCAACCTTTTTCCTTGCTCACAGATCACAACCCGTTGGTGTGTCTGAACCGTGTGGCTGGAGACAATGCCAGGCTGCTGCGCTGGAGTTTGGCACTGCAGCCTTTTGACTTAACCATCCATTACCGCCAAAGGAAACAAAACGGTAATGCCGATGGGTTATCTAGACAAACTGAACTGCAAAAGTGATCTGTGGGCACTGCCCCGGACATCCCCAAGCCGATCCGTTGGGATCAGACTGTGTATGCCGGCTTGGTTTTGGGGGAGCACTGTGGCAAACCTAGCCACTGTTGGGTTGCTGGACTATATGTACAAAAGGTTGTCTGCAATAACCGCTGGATTGTATATTGTAATATCTGTCTGTGCTGCTATGTTTAGAGCATTCAATGCTAGCAGCCGAAAGCCGCTAGCATTCATGTATTTCGTTTCACGAACAGAGACTTTACCGGCTGTTCGTAAAACAAATGAGCTACCACAAATGAGCCCACACACAGAGGGGCGTGTGGCACTCATTAACCGATTGCAACATTGTTGTAATCGGTAGTTAAAGGCTTTCCTAGGTGGCCGTCGTTCGGCTACCGACCACGCGGCGGTCGGCCATCTTGGATCCTTTGTTTCACCAGCGGTGTTTGGACGTCGAGCTCGTGGAACTGAAAGTGGCTACTCGATGGCGCGAACACCGCTGGGCTTCCAGGCCGTTCGGGAGCTCCGGTCTTTCGCTATTATGTTTCCCCATCGGTGTTCGGTATTTTTAGGCGAACACAATGTTAAAGTGTATTTCGTGCGGCGTTCGGTTGTTTAGGCTGGGATCTGAGCGGTATTCTCACGAAATGTGCACTCAGACACCAGCTATCTACCGAACATCCATTCGTCTAAATGACAGGAATATTGGCAAAGTTATGTATTTTAATGTAAAATGTCGGTTCTGCTGCATGGAGGGATAATCCACTTAACGGTATATTCCAGTGGGAGTATCCCTCTCGTCCAGCAGTGCTTGATGGGAGAAATGTCCAGATTGCTAAGTCCCCCATGTAGTCCCCTACTGTATAACCCCTGCAATGTCAGTAGGGAAACCCCTTGCATGGGGACTTGCATAAATACTGTGACCTGTGAATAAAAACCTCAGTTGACTCCCAGAACTGTGTTTCGTCCGGTTACTGGGGAATTTGGGATATTGCCTTACTTTTCAGCCTTGACTTTGGATTACCTTCTGTACCAGCGGAGATCTTGGGATTTATTATTGCAGCTCCGCTACACACGTACTGTGGGACAGCCACCGCCATCAGGTTTTAAAACTGTCCGTCTCCACCAGACTGAATGACAGCATTTCAAAGGCCAGGAATTTTGAAATGCTGGCATTCAGGGCCAGGGATCGCGGGTGGGTAGAGGGGTGCTTCCTCTTTCTCTCCAGTGTTTGAGAGATGGACAGCTGAACGCTTCAATGGGACAGTGTGGAGATGCTTGGGGACGGTGGCGGACGTGGTGGGGTTGCTGCCACATCCTCTGTTTGCAGCGTGGCAGGTGCCACTGTAACTCCAGAGGTGGAGGAAGAGGCCGAGACAGGAAGCAGGAGGAGCCTGAGACCTTTTTTTGTTTTTTAAGGTGCTTACTCCACTGCAGCTCGTGCTTTGCATGTAGATGCCTGGTCATGCAGGTTGTGCTCAGGTTTATAACGTTTATGCCTCGCTTCAGGCTCTGATCGCATAGCGTTCAAACCACTCGTGTCTTGTCGTCAGCACATTGTCTGAAGAACTGCCATGCCAGGGAACTCCTTGGAGCTGGCTTTGGTGTGCTTGGTCCCTGGGTGCGGTGGGAAGTAGCAGGCGTACTGTCTAGGGTACGGCCGCTCCACTTTTGCACACTGTTCCCTCTTATGCTGTGCTGGTGCCTCTCTGCAACCACCACCTCTTCCTCCAAACTGGACACGTCACTCGCATGACCTTGATTCCATGTGGGGTCTAGGACCTCATCATCCTCCACATCATCTTCCACCCACTCCTTAACCCTGCCCTCCTTGCTGGCCTGCACACTGCAGAAAGCCACAGCAGTTGGCACCTGTGTTTCGTCATCAGAGATGTGCTGCGGTGGTCCTTGCATGTCCATATCCTGACACATAAGTGGTTGTGCATCAGTGCACTCAATCTCTTCCACTTCTGGGGCAAGGCTAGGTGGATGGCCCATGGAAACCCCGCCAGCAGAGTCATCAAAAAGCATAAGAGACTGCTGCATGACTTGTGGCTCAGACTGCTTGGCTGATTTGCAAGGGGCTGAGGTGAAAGACAGATGGCCATGGACTGCAGGTGCCAACTCTGAGCTTTCAGCAGAGGACCGGGTGGGAGACAATGTGAAGGAACTGGAGGCACTGTCAGCCATCCAATCTACTATCGCCTGTACTTCTTCTGGCCTCACCAGAGCGGCATTCGGGCCTACCAAATAACGCTGAAGGTTCTGTCGCCTACTCGCACCTGAGGAAGGTGTTTCACTTGTGCGTGTAGCTGCCACAGATCGACCAAGTCCTCTCCCTGCAACAGGAGCTCCACCAACATTAGCAGAACCACGACCAGGGCCACGTCCTTTATTTGAATTTTTAAAAGTGCGATGTAACCACAGTATTTGACAGTTCTATTTGACTCTCAGATATGAAGTGCACCGCAGGTAGCAAATGTACTATTTAGCACAAAAATAATTTGAATTTTTAAAAGTGCGATGTAACTACAGTATTTGACGGTTCTATTTGACTCTCAGAAGTGCACGCCACAAATTTACTTTTTAGCACCAAAAAAATGTGAATTTGTCAAACTGCAATGTCACAGCAGTATTTAAAAATGCCTAGATGTAGCCCACTGAGCTACCAGAACAGGATTAAAGTAATGTGCTTGGCACACATGCAGTTGCAAGTGCCCACCTAACAAAGAGACTGATTTGTTATTTTTGTGGGTGCTACACTACATTTTTGTGGCACTGGGCTCAGGGTAGGGCACAAAAATGTAGTGTAGCACCCACAAAAATAATCGCGATAGTTTGCAGATTAAACACAAGAATTCTTTCCTAATCTGTCCCTCACAGCTGCAGCATCCTCTCCCTACACTAATAAGAGCTCATGTGACTCCAGCTTATATAGAGGCTGGGTCACATGCTGCACTGGCCAATCACAACCATGCCATTAGTAGGCATGGCTGTGATGGCTTCCAAGGGCACACGAGTCAAACGCTTGTTGATTGGCTGCCCTGCAGCTTTTCAAAACGCACCATTAAATCGCTGAACACCGAACTCGAACCCGAACTGTTACTGAAATGTACGGGCTCGGGTTCGGGGTCAAAAAATCGTAATGTTCGGTACGAATCAGAACTTTACAGTTCGGGTTCACTCATCTCTAGTGACAACCAGCCCACAACAAGAAA